CGCACACTGCCCAGACGAATACACACAGCGTCACCATCACACGGTTCTCATCCGCGCACACTGCCCAGACGAATACACACAGTGTCACCATCACACGGCTCTCATCCGCGCACACTGCCCAGACGAATACACACAGCGTCACCATCACACGGCTCTCATCCGCGCACACTGCCCAGACGAATACACACAGCGTCACCATCACACGGCTCTCATCCGCGCACACTGCCCAGACGAATACACACAGCGTCACCATCACACGGCTCTCATCCGCGCACACTGCCCAGACGAATACACACAGCGTCACCATCACACGGTTCTCATCCGCGCACACTGCCCAGACGAATACACACAGCGTCACCATCACACGGTTCTCATCCGCGCACACTGCCCAGACGAATACACACAGCGTCACCATCACACGGCTCTCATTCGCGCACACTGCCCAGACGAATACACACAGCGTCACCCTCACACGGCTCTCATCCGCGCACACTGCCCTGGACGAATACACACAGCGTCACCGTCACACGGCTCTCCTCCGCGCACACAGCCCAGGACGAATACACGTAGCGTCACCGTCACACGGCTCTCATCCGCGCACACTGCCCAGACGAATACACACAGCGTCACCGTCACACGGCTCTCATCCGCGCACACTGCCCAGACGAACACACGCAGCGTCACCGTCACACGGCTCTCATCCGCGCACACTGCCCAGGACGAATACACACAGCGTCACCATCACACGGCTCTCATCCGCGCACACTGCCCAGACGAATACACACAGCGTCACCATCACACGGCTGTGCTCCGCGCACACTGCCCAGACGAATACACACAGCGTCACCATCACACGGCTCTCCTCCACGCACACTGCCCAGGTGAATACACACAGCGTCACCATCACACGGCTCTCATCCGCGCACACGGCCCAGACGAATACACACAGCGTCACCATCACACGGCTGTGCTCCGCGCACACTGCCCAGACGAATACACACAGCGTCACCATCACACGGCTCTCATCCGCGCACACTGCCCAGACGAATACACACAGCGTCACCATCACACGGCTGTGCTCCGCGCACAAGGCCCAGACGAATACACACAGCGTCACCATCACACGGCTCTCATCCGCGCACACTGCCCAGACGAATACACACAGCGTCTCCATCACACAGCTCTCATCCACGCACACTGCCCAGACGAATACACACAGCGTCACCATCACACGGCTCTCATCCACGCACACTGCCCAGGTGAATACACACAGCGTCACCATCACACGGCTTTCAGCCACGCACACTGCCCAGGTGAATACACACAGCGTCACCATCACACGGCTCTCATCCGTGCACACGGCCCAGACGAATACACACAGCGTCACCATCACACGGCTGTGCTCCGCGCACACTGCCCAGACGAATACACACAGTGTCACCATCACACGGCTCTCATCCACGCACACTGCCCAGGTGAATACACACAGCGTCACCATCACACGGCTCTCATCCGCGCACACTGCCCAGACGAATACACACAGCGTCACCATCACACGGCTCTCCTCCGCGCACACTGCCCAGACGAATACACACAGCGTCACCATCACACGGCTCTTATCCGGGCACACGGCCCAGACGAATACACACAGCGTCACCATCACACGGCTCTCATCCGCGCACACTGCCCAGACGAATACACACAGCGTCACCATCACACGGCTGTGCTCCGCGCACAAGGCCCAGACGAATACACACAGCGTCACCATCACACGGCTCTCATCCGCGCACACTGCCCAGGACGTATACACACAGCGTCACCATCTAACGGCTCTAATCCACGCACACTGCCCAGGACGTATACACACAGCGTCACCATCACACGGCTCTCATCCGCACACACTGCCCAGACGAATACACACAGAGTCACCGTCACACGGCTCTCATCCGCGCACACGGCCCAGGACGAATACACACAGCGTCACCATCACACGGCTCTCATCCGCGCACACTGCCCAGACGAACACACACAGCGTCACCGTCACACGGCTCTCATCCGCGCACACTGCCCAGACGAATACACGCAGCGTCACCGTCACACGGCTCTCATCCGCGCACACTGCCCAGACGAATACACGCAGCGTCACCGTCACACGGCTCTCATCCGCGCACACTGCCCAGACGAATACACACAGTGTCACCGTCACACGGCTCTCATCCGCGCACACTGCCCAGACGAATACACACAGCGTCACCGTCACACGGCTCTCATCCGCGCACACTGCCCAGGACGAACACACACAGCGTCACCGAATGGTCTATAGCTTGATTAGCTGACTATTTCTGACAGACAGCACCTCCGTCCCTCAGGCCGTGAGCGTCCATGGCCCTGGAGGCCCCTGAGCTCTACCTGTCTGCGCCGGGGCAGCCGGAGTTGGTAGGCTGAGACGCTCATGCGGGAAGTACCACGTGCGGGCACCCGGTTCTCGCCGCCTCATCTGCCTCCGTGACCTGCAATGACAAGGCAGCAGGCGAGGGCCCAACCGGAGCTCGTTCTGGAAACTTCACTTGTTGTGAATGCATGGAGAACATGCCTAAAACCGCCCAGAGCAAATTAGTCTTGCTGTTGGCCGTATGGCAAGACGTCTATTTACACAAGTTAAAAAAGCTTTAAACACTTTCTACGCTTGGTTCTAGAATCACTAAAACACAGTCGGGTGGAATAAGGAGCTGCTCCCGTGCCCTCTCGCTTCGAAGTCTGCAGCTTCCTCAGGTGCTACCAACACGTGCAACCTGTGATCACATAAGAATTTCTACTCATGCTTCCTCTGGCATGCTCCTCACATCTAGAAAGGCAATTAACTGGATACAAGGAAGGATATAAATTAAAAAGAAAAAAACCCCTAAAACTTCTGCTGATTTATACCACTGTAAAGATTTTTGTTTGCTCGATAGTAATCGTTAAAGTACAAAGAATTTCAATTTTAAATGGCTCAAATGCTTTATTTCAGCCTAAATTCCCTTTCTTCGAGTCTAACCAGCCAGACTGATTAATTTTAGTTAAAATTATTTCAAAATGCATCTCACCAGCCTACTCTTTCATATGGTAGAAAGAGATGTAAAAACACCCCCGAAATCTAGAAACCAAAAGAAATCAGTCCCGATTTGGAAGAGCCAATTTCTTTACCGGTGTGGTTGCTACGGTGACACTTGGTCTCTCGGAGACCAACACAGTAGAAGCAGAATCTCAGAGCTTGTCCGATTCCTCTGCTTCACAGCTGAGAACACTTGCAAGAGCAAGAGGTTAACGACACCCTCGACCATCCCCACTAATGACTAAAAGGCCCACAGCTGGACCTGACCCGGGCTCCTGGTAATCTGGGTAGTTCTGCCAGCTACCCAGCAGGGCCGGGTGCAGGGTTTATTTCATCAGTTCAGGGTTTTCTTTTTTTCCCCCTTTATTGATTTTGAGAGAGCATAAAAACATTGATGAGAGAGAACATCGACTGGCTGCCTCCTGCATGCTCCCCACTGAGGATCGGGCCCACAACCTGGGCATGTGCCCTGACCGGGAATAGAACTGGCGACCTCTTAGTGCAGGGGTGGATACTCAACCACTGGGCCACACTGGCTGGGCCAGGGTATTTTTTAATGAGAGAGCGCCTTGAAGAATCTTTGTTGGCAGTAAATGTGTCTCTTATTCAGTTCCTTTAATCCTTGCCATGTCTCAAGCCCTGTCCCCAAGTCTTACCTCTAATTATCACATTTGCCTCCCTAATAAATGATTTATCTCTAATAACTTGGCTAGAAATAACTGAGCCCTTTGCCCATCAGTTACTGTGTTTGGCTACACGAAAGGCCCACTGGCTTCCTCGTGATTCACTGACTCCTGTCTGTGTGGAAGATGCTTTCTAGTCCCTCCATCACCGACAACCCTGGTGCCCGACTTCCAACCGGCAGGACCACAATCTGGGGCAAAAGACTGCAGGAGCTTCCCAGGGGCTGTCCTCCCGCATGCCCTGTGCTGAGCAATAAAACCCACAGGTCAAGTGTCCCAGGGGTAGGAAGTCGTTTCCACAGGCTGAGAACAAAGACGTTTTCTGGGCTCCTTCTCGGCTCTGCTAAGCGGCCCTGATAAGTTATTAGCTTAAGTACCGTGGTAAGAACTGGTCCTGGGGCACCAGCTGAATAGTGTTTCAAAATTTCCTGTTCAAAGTTAGTTCTCTATTCTCCCAAAACTGTTAAAATCAAGCAGTTAACTCTGCAATGAAGTTTTACTTGGCCAACTGCTTCCGAGTTTCAAAGAAAGATAAAAACAAAACACTTGCACCAACTCTTCACAGTAAATATTTAATGACTAAATGAGTCACCTCGCAAACACCATCTAACTGCTGCAATCATCCTGCCCGAGACGGCAGTCAGGAACCTCGGGTTTCCACTTCAGCTCGGCCACCAGCTCAGAAGCCAGCGACTGAATGGCTCTGCCTCACTTCCTATGAGCAACACTCCCAGAATGCACCGGTTCTCATCAGACAAGGTGAGGAGCTTTCCCAGCACAGATAAATCCCAATGTTGACAGTCCTTCTCCACAGGTTTTAAGAGAGCAAGAAAAATGACTACAACACAGGTTGTAGTAATTACACAGGTTTTAGTAATTCTTTTCATTTAGGCAAATGGCCAAGCAACACCCCCCAGAGAGACCACTGCCTGCCAAGGGGAGACTGGTGGGTGAAGACCCACCCCGCAGCTCTGACATGACCCCTGCAATTCACAGATAGGGGACAGCGAGGGCCTCAATGACACAGTCTGTCAATTAATGTCATAAAAAAGAGCACTTTCTATTTGGGGACATTTTCAAACTGTTTGCTGTATGTCTTTGGCCCCAGATATGAAATCTGCCTCCCCACTCGAGAGCCCTCCGTGTGCAGGTCAAGCCCTGCAGCTGTGCAGATGCCCTCTAAGAGGGAGCAAGCCTGACGGAAACACCACCAACAGCCCGCGTGGAGCATGCTCAGTTTATTGGCGCTGTCACTCCATCAACAAGACAGGTATTTCCCCCCATGGAGGGAGATCGTTTTCGATCTGCCATAACATGTGCCCACACATCTTCACCTTGAAAATGTAGCGTCTCAGGCTTTAGTCAGGGTCTAGGAGGAAAAAAGAAAAGGCAAAAGTTGTTAGTCCTCTGTGTTTTCTTGAAAAGCTAAGATGAATGGGGGAAATAACTTCCTTACAACAAATTAGATAACACGACGGTGGCTTCAGCTCGCATGGTGGGTGAGGGGCCTTGGCTGGGCGGGCACTCCCTCCCCTGCTAGGAAAACCAAACCCGCGCCTGGCGAAAGGAAACCCCTTTGCCTTTACAAGACACGAAAACCGCCCTGTGCTGATGGGGTGGGGGCCGAATGCCCTGTAGGACACGTGGGGAGTGGCCGATGTCCTGCTTTCGGAGGTGGACACGACTTGCCGGCCCAGGACAGCACAAGGTCGAGGGAGTGCGACGGGCCTGGCCGGACTCTGCTGCGGAGGGCTGACTTCCTGTTAGCTCTCAGTCAGAACCAGCCCCACATAAACCAGGTCTCACCGCTCAGAATCTGAGATTAGACAGAGACCCCTAGAAAAAGGGCTCAATTCAAAACACTGCATCTCCAGACTCGTAATAAAATATTTACTAATTCAAAATGAAAATGAGAAGTGCTTAGGAGAGACAGTTCCAATAAGTCAAACTGCTCATAACCACAAGCTGCCAAAAGATTAATATTTATCACATTTCCCTGCTACTGCGGGTCTGAAACTTTTTAAAAAGCAAAACAAGACAACTAAATCTGAAAAACATCTCTCTGGTAATTTGTCGCGCTAATCTTTGAAATAACAATGTAAAAAAAGTGGTTTAGAGAGCAAACCACTTGAGTAGTTTGGAACACACGAGTCTGACTTATCAAATGTACAGGACCGTCTTGCATTGTACAGACGCGACTCTACAGAGCCAAGCCCCTGAGTGCACAGCACTTGGCCAAGTGGTCCTCATGGCAGCGTCTTGCGCATTCCGCTGCTTGATAAACAGCAGGGCCCCTACCTGGGCTTGCGCGCTTCCATTCAGTAGTGATTTGTGAGAACACCAGCAGGTGTGGGGGAAACAAAGAACTGTGATTTTTCTTGCTCTTGAACTGTTATGTAACGCCAACAGCAATTACAAAAATGGGGAGTTTATCCTCCAAATTATTTGACTTTGTGCAAATGAAACAAGTTTAATTAAAGTGAGACGGCTCTCCACCTAGGCATGCCGAATGAGCTGGAAATCAATGTGCCAATTACTTCTGCTTGTCAGGGCCCCAAACAAATGTCTTTGATTTTGCCACAGGACTTCTACAACCCGTCAGCTTCAAATGAGCATCCCACTAACTCCTGCACGTACCGATGGACCAAAAGTGGGATACGTTCAAAAGGAAAATTACTTTGGTCTTTTAAAGTACTCTACACATTTAAGATGCAGCTCTTCTAGGTCGATCAGAACTTACACATTATTCCTTCTTCACTTTCACAATTTTCACGCTGGTTCCAGAAGTCTTCTCGGCGTTTGCTTGGAATTCTGTCTTCAGCGCGTCCCGCACGGCTTTCGCGCAGATCTGGGAGTAGCGGATGTAGCTGGGAGAAATGAGAGACGACAGACGTTAATGAACAGGATCCAGCCAGACCCGTGGTGGAGCTGGTTTCCTTTTTCTCCATATGTTTTACATTTCGATTTGATGGTACGTTATTATAGAACTGGACTTAGAAACGACAAAGTGAAAAGAAAAAGGTTAGGAAGAAATGTACCGGTGATCGGAAGAGTGGGCTTTAGTTTTCTACTTTGTATTGTTTTCCCCTCTTCAATAGATATTAATTTAAAATAAATGAACAGCCCTGGCCGGTTTGGCTCAGCGGTCAGAGCGTTGGCCTGCTGTCCAGATAGACCTGGGTTCAGTTCCCGCCAAGGGCATGTACCTCGGTTGCAGTTTGTCCCCGGCCCTGGTTGGGTTGTGTGGGTGGCAGCCACTCGATGTGTCCCTTTCACGTCGATGTTTCTCCCTCTCTCCCTCTCTCCCCCTCCCACTCTATCTGAACAAAAAATGGAAAGATGTCCTCAGGTGAGGATTAAAAAAAAAACAATTAAAAGGTGAACAGATTAAAAAAAAATCCCACAGGAAAGGAAATGGACTAAAATGTTAATGAAGTCTAAAATGAGGGATTGCCCCCATCTTTCTCTACTTAAAACTTTTTCTTACATTATTCTCACAAGGTAAAGGATATACAATTCAAAGGAAGAAGAAAAAAACAAAAACTATTTTGAATGAAAAGTTCTCCCTCTGATTAATTACTTAAAGGTCTTCCTGCGACTACTGGACTCTGTTTCATAACCCTGCCACTCAACACGCTTCCCAATCAAGGTTTCCAAATTAAACTGAAGTGGCCCTTTGAGCACATCATCAGTGCCAGCAAACACCTCACGGCCTGCTTCCTGTCTGCTAGATGACTCCCATCAACATCTTCTTTTCCAGAAGATGTCAGCTCCCTTGTTTTACACTTTTTGAAAACAGGACGGGGGTGGAGGGAGGGAGGGCGATGCTGTCTATTTTCTTCATGTTTCAGATTTGGGTTTTTTTTTGTTTTGGCCAAGGGGTGGGCGTTCCAGTGCCTGCTCCACCCTTATAACTGGGTGACCTTCAGGCTGGTCCCTCTTTCAGTCCATCCACCGACAGACGGCAATTGCAGTCGCCCCGCCGGTGGTGGGTGGGAGGAGACGACGCGCGGGGACGGGGCGCCGGCCGCACGTAGTAGGTGCTGAGTGCACGGCCCGCTCAGCCCGCTGGACCTCAGGCCGGGACCCAGGGCGCCAGGTGTCTCCCAGGCCCCGCCCTGCAGGCGCCCGGAGCTGCTCTGCCCAGCAGGCGGGGGGCACGGGCACCGGCTGTCAGGTGCGGGGGTAACAGTGCCCGAGGCGCGTCTCCCCGTTACCCCGGGTGCTGAGTCCTCACGGGCTCCAGCGGGGCTTCCACGGGCCACCTGTGCGCAGGCTCTGCAGGTGCGAGCGGCGGCGAGTGCGGCCCAGACGGGCAGGTGCGCCCCTGGCAAGGGCCCCGCCTGGATGCTGGCGAGGAGGCCGGCGCAAGGGGCGGTGGTCGCGTCCCGGGGCTGCCCCGACCCCCGCGCCCAAGTCCTGGGTCGCTTGTCACTTGCTCGACGGGGCGTCCCGCGAAGGGCGCAGGCCGCGCGCCTGGGCTGCCGCCTCTGGAGGGGCGTCGCGGTCGCCGAGGCGCGGGGGGGGGGGGGGGGGGGGGCCGTCGGGCCAGGGGCGGGGCTGCATCCCCAGCCGGCGCGCAGGTGCCCCGCGCACGGCGACCCTCCCACCCCCGGCCGCCATCTTGGGCGCTCTTGTCCGCCCGACCCCCGCGTGACCTCTGACCCCGGCCGCCCCGCGCTCGCCCCGCGCGCCCCTCTCGAGGCGCGGGTCTACCTGAGTCCAGCCTGTCGCCAGTAGGCCACCATGATGTCGCAGGAGTGGGGGTTGGTTGGACCGAATCGCGAGGACGCGACAATGGAGGTGCAACGCGCAACCCAGCGGCCGGAAGGTCAAGCCTGAGAAGCGGAAGAGGCGGGGCTCCGGACCTGCCAATCCCGCCGCCTTGGGCTCCGCCCTTTCGAACAGGCCCTGCTGCCCCGCGGTGGAATCCCGTCAGCGCCGGAGCCAATGGGAGCGCGCGGCCCGGGCGGCGGGTGCCAATCCCCGGGCGAGCCGGCCCGCTACGCCTGCTGATTGGCTGGCGGGTGGCCGGGCGTGCGCCCGGGGACTAATGTAGTGCCGGCGGGGCGACTCGGGCCCCCTCGGAGCTGGAGGGACCGGGACCGCGTGGTTCGGGGCGCGAGACGCGACGCCAGGCCGAGGCCGGAGTGGGGTGCACCCCGGCCTGGGGCTGGGGCGGCACCGCTCACAGCGCAGTGATTTGCGGGCATCTCCGGGGCAGCCCGTGCGGTGTGTCCTGCGGGGCGGAGGGGTGACGATGAGCCAACAGGCTGGGGCTCGGGGACCCCCAGACACACGGGAACCGCCCCGGCGTGCCCTTGAGAGAAGACCCGACCCCTGCGCAGCGCCCGGGACAGCCCGTGGCCATCACCGTGTTCTTAGGAGGGAAGACACGGCACTGCCCTTCACAGCGAGGACACGTGCCACCGAGGACACGTGCCACCGGGCGGCGGCCAGTCATGTGCTCGCTCACGATGCTTCTCCCCCCTCCCCTCCTCTCTCTCTCAAATCAATAAACAACAATGAAGAAAAAAAAAGTTTAAAAAAATGTATCATCAGGAGAAACCACAGTTTAAGTTTCATGAACCGTTTTCATTGGTGTGAGAGGCCCTGGCCCAGGAGCTCGCTCTGGACACCTGGGCCCCCGTGGCCTGCTGGCTGCCACCGGGGTGCCCACGACAACGGGGTGCCCACGGGAGGGCCGCGCCCCCAGCCGCCGCCCCGGAAGCAGTGGTTCCTCAGAACAGAGGACGATCAGGAAGTCTGAGTAAAACAAGATCCAACCGAATGAAACTTAAGAAATCTTTTTATCATCGGGGTGTTCATTACACCTTTGTCAGAACAAGTATCATGTACAGAAATCATACAAGGCAACTTTTAATCAAAAACCAGTATTTAGCAATGTTTTGTTTAGCTGAAATGTTATTTCAATCGTAAAAACCATCTCTGGTTACAAAAATAATAAAAAACCTTATTGAATTTCACTTGCTTTTACAAATGCTCTAACAAGTCTTAAGCTAAAACAGTACTTTAAGTAGGAAAACACTGATTTTTAAATAGATTGTTCCTGTGGTGGATGTACATGTCACCTGGCTGCTTTTATGGGCCCCTGCCCAGAAGTGGACCACATTAGGCATGTGAGATAAAGGCAGGAGCTAACCGCCTTTTAACAGAAATGCTTTATCCAAGATATTTTCTACTGGTTGATAATTAACTGCTACAAAATAGGAAATAAAATACATTTACTGGATTGTTTTTCCGAGTACAGCTGCCCTCGGGCTCCTAACATGAGGACTTCCCATAAACCAAAGCTGCAAAGCTGTTCGCAGGTAGTGGTTACTTCAGGTCAATCCCTTCCCTCTGTTGTTCTTTCCTTCCTCCCCACCAGCCCCCCTGCAGTGGCACCCTATTATTAACATCAGGTACCTGGGATTTGTGCCTCAGATCAAGACAGCATTTGAGCAATTTGAAATGAGGTACAGCTCTTCATGTAAAAAAAAGATGTGTTGTGGTCACAATTACTTCAAAAAGTAATTATATTAAAATAACCTGGCAGATCATGTTTTAGCAATCACAGAACCAAGATTCGGACACATGGCCATTTATAGGTCAGGCAAACTGAAATGCGGAAAGAGGTGCACAGCTGCTCTTCTGTTTGCGTTTAGTGCTGCAAAGTTCTGGTAATGACTTTATTTTCTGTCCACATAATCAGCACGATACAGCATACTAAGTCATAAAGTACAAATCCAAGGAAGGTAATTCCTTCACTAAGTTACAAAATTTTGGCAAGTCAGTACAGTACTCTTTAATAGAATAAAATCATACTTTTTTGCAGTTATATATTACTTGAGTGAATTTTCAGTCCAAAAATGTCCCAATTTAAAACACTGGTTTTCAGTGGCAGTTTAGCAGAGCAAGTTATTGTACACAAATTAGTATCTTTGAAAACTGTACAATTTCTCCTTTGAAAGTGAGCTCCCTCTTGAAGTTGACTGCAGCAGGGCAACTGTGCCTGTTTAGAGGTGGCTCTGCTTTGTCCTGGGCTCCAAAGCCAGGCACAGTTCCCACACGTGAAACGCTTAGAAATTCAACCTGAAGGAGATTTAATATGCCAATACCAATTTCCAAGTACTTTTCAAAAATTGTTAAATTTTCACAGATACTGGAATCTTCCAAACCAGACAGTCATTTCAAACAACATTAATAATTTCAGATGTTCCCTTTTATTTAGAAACCCCGAACCTCTTTGTTTTGATCAAGTCACATAGCCTTTCTTCAGCTTATTTAAAAAAAATTCTACCTAAAATATAGTTGTACTTTTTAAATAAGAAATAAATATAATGCTAGCTAGTAGAGACCGAGGGGTTGGGTGCGGTGCCAACTTGCATCATTTCTCTGCAAAGGCTGCTGGGGACTGGGGGCTGCGTGCCAACCTGCATCATTTCTCTGCAAAGGCTGCCGCCGCCATCGGTGACCTTATGCTCCCTCTGGCCGAAGCTGTCAGTTCTTCAAGCTCAGCATTTAATTTATGTATGACCCATTCCATCGCTTCTCGGCCCTTAAAAAAATGCAGTACATTTATTGTTACCGAGTGAGAACAAAGGCACGTATCAAATAAATGGCACACCAGGAAGTAGCAGGGAGCATGACGAGTACAACTACCCCTCCCCAGGGGGGATGGTTTTTGTCCTTGCTGCTTCTTCCTCATGCTATTTACCAAATAACACATGCCTTAAGCCACTGGTTTGCTCTATAAACTGATTTTTTATTTTGTATGCAAAAGATGTTCTCAAAAGAATCTATAATTAAGTGACAGTGTTGTTTTACTTATCTCACAATTAGAGTAGTCCCCTTTTTGGGGGTGAGGGCAATCCCCTTTTTTCTTTGTATGTCCATATTTTGCGCCAAAATCTTTTATAAGTTCTAAACCAAAGATTGACACCAAAACCCTGAACGATCTGGTCCCTGATTTCTTCAACCATTCTCTGTTGGCACTCTATGCAGTTCCTTGAGGAGAAGCAGCAGCAGCATTTAATTTTTCCTGCCTCAGGGCCTTTGCACATTCAGCTCCTCTGTCTGACATGCTCCCTGCACATCCCTGATGACCCACCCACTCCTCTTTCACTCCCAGCAGAACATCGCTCACCGGGCACACGTCAGCACGCGCATAGCTGCCTGCACTCTCCCTTCTAGTGATAAGCTGTGCGATGCCCACTGCGTCCCTTAGCTCCACAGGCCAGGCCCTCGTTCTGTATCTCCCCTGTGCCCCGTCCAGCCTAGTGCTCCTCCTGGCACAGAGGAGGCATCTACCTTACATTAAAATGTTACAGAACAGTGCACTAAGTTTTCTCTAAACTCAGTTTAAATCATCCGTTCTCAATGGGGCACAAATTAGCTGGGGTGGTGGTGAAAAAAAATCTCTTTTTATGCATAAAGCTCTATCTATGTGTCTGTGTTAAGTAACTACCCGGGGTAGGGTGATTGGGAAAAAAATGTCTAAAATGGATCTGGGCGGGGTGATAATGGAGAAGGTTGAGAACGGCAGCACGTCAGCAAGCACTTCCCTCAAGCTGGGCCCTGGGACGTGCACTTTCCACGTCATCGCATTCACTCTTCATGCCTAACCCGTACGATGGTCAGTCCACTCCACAGACGGAACACTAAGGCACAGAGAGGTTAACCTAACTGCCCACGGTTGAAAGGCTGGTAAGAGTCAGAGCCTGGGCGCGAACACCCAGGTGCAGGGCCCCAGACTAGTAAGTAGCAGCCCATATGGCTTCTCAGAGTCACGGTCGACAGTCAGCTTGTGAGGACAGACCCACGCTCAGCACTAAGCTCCTCCAAGAAACGGAAGCCAGGGCAACAGGACCACGAGCAGCCTCACGTACCTTACTAGCGTTTGAAGATATGGTGTTCGCCATCAGCCCTTCCAGGTAGCTGCTGAGGCTGACGCCCTTCACAGTGATGATGGCCTCCTGGGTCAGAACAGTTCTGGAAGACAGACCACACAGCTCCAGAACAATCCAACTTTCATTCTTTAAAGAAATATTTTGTAAAGGATTAAAACATTTTCTACTTACTTTTCTCGGTCCTGAGGATGTGGTTTATATATAAGTCTCTCATCTACTGAAACCATATTTGTAAATGAAATCTATAGAAATTAAAAAAGAAATCAAATCATTTTGGAAATCAAGATTAAAAACATTCCCGAAATTAATTCACATATCCAAATCTTGCTAGTTAAGTAATACAGAACAAGAATAAATAAACTATTTCGATATTACTGTATAAATAGAATTTAAATTTCACTGTTCATTGCTTCCTTTTTATGAAAAGATCATCAATTGGACAAAGCATCACGAGAGTAAGAAGATGCAGAGCCCCCCAATCCATCTCCTAGAGAGCTGGTCCCAGAAACACCAGGCGGGCTCTGGCGGTGAGGCTGAGCTGCGGGCCCGGCCCGCAGAGCACGTGAGCGAGCCTTCCTGAACCCCTGTGAGGCAACACTCAGCTCTGCCTCTCAGAGACAAAAACAGGGGCCAAATAGTTTAAAATAAAAACCAAAAAGAAGCCAAGACTTACATTAGTGGATTTGAGTTCCAGTGTTTTCTCTACAGGGTCAACTACAGAATGCTCTTGCACATATGTCTTTGTTCTCGCCGCACCAATCAGCTGAATAAAACACCCACAATTAGTAATCAGAGGGGAAGGGTTTCTTCATAAGTGTATCAATATTTTATTTGAAAGTAAAATGTTAATGTCTTGAACCAAAAATCCATTTCATAAAAAATCATGAGGCATCAGACAAAGGTCAGAAAGGAGACCCATCTGAGTACCCGGAGTTCACACCCCACAGATGGGATGGGACTCCACACACACCCTCCCCAGGGGCGATCAGCAAGCCGCCCGCGGAGAGCGCAGCACAGCGCAGTAAGGCAGGCCGCTGGGCCTGCCGGTGTGACCAGGAGTCTGAACAGGGGACTTCAGAGCGTCTGGGGAAACACGGTGTCTGGAAAAGGGAAGCTCAAGAGCGTCGTCAGCATGTCCCTCAAGCCGTCCACGGGGGAGGGTGCCACGGCCTGCTTCTCCAGACAGGGGACTGCCATGTCACGAAGGAGGACATCACGTCCAGTGAGTGTCACTCCCGGTGCTGACCCAAAGTCAATCACCCAATCTTGCTCATTTCCATGTCCCCACTACCTAATGCAGTGGTTTATACAAAAGAAGCAATCAGTACATGCCCGTTGACAACTATGTACCTGAATTTTCGGGGTGGCCCTACCTCCTAGAAAGGGAACTTCTACTAAAAACTGGGTCCGCTTATCATTCCAGAGCTCTTTCTTCCACACCACCAACTGGCATTCCAGTTTACTGCCGGTTAAACTGAATCACTAAGTCTGCTTGTACCTGAACAGGGTCATGTTTTGAAATGTATGGGGAGGAGGCCCAGACCCTGGAACAAATGTGGCAACAGCAAAGCCCAAGAACACGCTGCCCTCCCCATGAGCGCGAGCCACCGCTGACCGCACACCCGTGCCAGCAATCCCCACCAGCTGCCCAACCTCGCTGTCCACCTCAAGTCGCGGGCAAAGGCAGGGAAAGTAGAATGTAACTCTTTTTAGATCCCTTCAGAAAGTTTTATCAGGTGCCTTCATGAAGACTGTAATAATATTTCCAATTCATTATACACTCATAACTCAAGTTTATTATAATATAATTTGAACTGATGCAAAAATGACACTCAGAACCTGCTCCCACAACCTATTTGAAATTATAATGTGGTTTAGAAAACTTCTCTCCAGCAGTCACATTTCTGCAGGAACGAAGACACACTCACAGATTTCACAATGGAAGGCAGTCCCCACTCTGTGCTGAGAAGTCTATGGCTGTGCAACTTTCCAGAAGGATCTATATGTCTGTCCAGTACATCGACTCCGACCACACTTGGGTTCATAGGATTTGGGTATTTCTGCATCGCAGCTGTTGTAACAGTTTCCCATGGGTGGCTGCAACATAAAGCACAGACATTTACAGATACGCACAGACATCAAGCCAGTTTTATAACCATCACATGATTCTTTCCAATGGAAGTTCAGTTTACCTAGGGAAGATGATTTTCTGTAACACTGACTGAAAGATGATTTTGGGGACTCAATTTACATTTTAAACAGAGGTTTCAGTATTTTTTTCAGCACAGGTTATATGGTACAACTAATTTCTATAGAAATTAAAATAACCTATAGAGCATCAGAGTATAGTTTCTTAATCTTTCCCATTTACCCATGTCCACTTTCACATGTAAATTTTGTTTCTAAGAACCAAATTCATAAAAAGGTATTTAAAAATTATGTTCTACAGAAACGAGCAGCAAAAACTGTCATACCATTTATTCTTTTGTTTGACTCCAATCCTACGAAGCCACAAAGGAATGAGAGTCAACTTATATGCACTGTAAATTCTTAGTGACTACAAAAACCTTGTTGACTTAAATGCCACATTAAAATGTATTTTTCTCTCCGTTAAGGTAATAAATAACAGTGACTCCCTCCCGTCAATCTTTATCCATTGCTTTGCTCCAAGGAGTGACTCTGATTGGTTTTGAAAAGGTACTTAATATAATGTTTTTAAGATGCTCCTAATACACTATTTTCTAATATTCTTTAATAGAATAAGATTTGCTTATCTTCTAGGACTGAAATGCAACTTGAAGCATCTTTACCTGTTGAGAAAGTACATGTACCTGGCGACTCAAATGGGATGCACACCTGCTCACTTTTCAACCCATGTGGACAGGAGGCTGCACAAAGACACCTTTCGCAAAAAAGCCCTCATGAACTAGACTGCACATGAAAGGTGACTCAACTCTTCAGAGAACTAAACCTGCCAATTACTTCACATCGACAGGAGGAAAATCTCAATACCATTTATTTCCCAGAACCCTGGACAACCTGTGACATTATCTGTCATGTTTTCATTTTTGCTACAATTATCACATAAATGAACCTCATTCTGTTTCTAATCTCAGGCCTTACTCAGCAATCAACGCAGGTACACAGGTGGAACTGCTTTACTAATCTAAACAGTCCCCACAGATAGGAGTGATACAGGCACTGGTTACCCAGGCAACTATCTCAAATGAAAGTCGGACAGACCCTTTCCCCAGCTCCATCTAGTCCCATGGTCATGGTCAGCTGGCTTCCTTGCACTTAACTCTTTCTCCCATCCCCTAAAAACAATAAATAACTACATGGCTCCAGGGTGGTTATGCAATATTTGTAATTTTGTCCTTCTCTTCCCTCTGAGCCAACTTGAAAACACTGATGTTGACTTAGCTTGAACTAGTACTGCTTTATGAAACAGAACTAGTTAAATGGTACAAAGGAGGCCTCTTATAATTAACAGTCTTCCCACAATTAATTTTAACTGTGTCAGTGTAATTATGTGACAAGACCTCACACTGGAAGACATTCAAAGACAGCACCAAAGGGCAGTATGGGAACCTGGTAGTGGCTTATTGACCTGTCCAGTTTCTTCACCTATAAAATGAGGTGGGAGACACGGTTAACGCCACTGAACAACAACAAATTCTGCCAATCCCAAGAACAGTGCCTGGCACATAGTGGGCACCCACAGCTGTTGAAGAAGTCAATGAATTCCACAACTGGATGCCAACTACATGCTAGGCCTCAGAAGGAAGTGTGGGAAGCCAGAGCTGGGAAAGACAGAACGATGGCTTAGATGTTGTCATTAGATAGGAACATCCTTAAGACGGGGTACCTAGGGAAAGGTGTGAGACTTTTGGGAGACATGATTTTAACTTCAGATATGCTGAGTTTGAAGAGCTTGTGGGACATGTGAGTAGAGATGTCTGGCAGGACCTGAAAATAAGGATTTGAACCTCAAGACGGGCTGGGGCCCGAGTGTGCATGAATCGCTGGGACCGCGGTGGGAAAGCCCTGGGCAGGCGGGTGGAGTCAGGATCAGGAAGGTTCAGCTTTGACTTGAACACGGCTGCCTTCCGGGAGGAGGGTCCCAGAGCGTTCCTCAACTCTCAGAGAAGTCCGTGGCAAAGAGAAACAAGAAAGATTAAGAATCACTGATAAAATGCCAGACAGGAAGGCCAACAACAGAATCTCACTGAACACTTACACTGAAGGGGGAAATTCGAGAGAGACGTTAAAGGACAAAAGGCAGGCAGCCCGGAGACAGGGGGTGGGGACAAGCCAGGGGACAGTGTTGGGGAAGATGGACAAGGCTGTCCTAAGGAGGCAGACACAGTTCCCACGATGGAAGCATTTAAACCCGGAAGGGGATCACAAGGAACAAACCACCCCTGGCCCCAAGGGCTGAAATGCAGCAGTGAAGAATGTGACCTGGTTGAAGAACATCAGCAAGACTACAAATGTGTAGTCTTCCCCCCCAGAACGACAACCACCGAGGCAGAAAAGAAATCTCCCCTCTGATTCTAACACGCTACGCTTTCCAAGACCCAGTGGACTCTTGAATGTGTCTGTTTCACTAAGTTTAAAAAAAAAAAAAAATCAAATGGTTCAACTAAAACACACTACAAAGCTATGCACGTCGAAACGGTGTGGCTGTCGAACAGGTGGAATGGAGCAGACAGCTCAGAAATGGATTCACCGACAAATCAGGGCAGTTGAGGGCAAGGGTGGCGCCCGGGGAGGAAGTGGGGCTGCCCTGAGTGCACTATGTGGGTGACAACCGGCACACCCGCTTCCACCTGCGCTGCTTTCGCACTCGGAATCGCAGGTCCGGAAGTGGATTTAATTCCCAACGTGCACACGTTTCTGCTAACCCGGGGGTGTCCCTGGGCGGGGTCGGACGCCTCGCCCGCCGGGTCTCGGATGGGAATGGGAGACCCGAGGCCACCCGGCTCCTGGAGCCAGCGCTGGACCTTGGACTCCGATCCCGGCCTCTGCATCTCAAGGCAACGAGCTGCCGGAAGGTTCCCCGCCCGGCCGCCCCAGCCCATCCAGCCACATTCCGAGGTTAGAGGCTCCACCCAGACGCTGGCGGGGCGACTCGGGGCTCTCCACCGAGCCCACGCTTCCTCGGGGACCCTCGGGTCCGCTCGCACCCCGAGTGTGGTCCAGGACCTCGTGCTCGGCGACGCTCCCACCACCGGGGGGCAGACCGCGGTGCGCCGCCTCTGGCCCCCTCTCGGCGGGCGCCGGCTGGGCCTGGGGGTCGGGGCTCTGTGCCCTGGGGGCCCATCCCCGGGGCGCAGGGTGACGCGAGCGCCCCAGAGCCCCGTGGGACTCCGGCCCAGCTCCCCAACGAGGCCCGACGCCTGGAAGCTTCCTGCGGGGCGCCTCGACCTCGCCGCCTCTCCGGGCCCGACCTGCCCTCCTACACGCCCCAGGGGCCCTGCGCCCCCCACCGACCCGCCCCACGCCCCGAACTTACTCGAATACGTGCTCCGAAGTCCAGATCTTCATGGTGCCGGTGGCCGACCCGGTGTCCCGGCGGCGTAAAGAGGCAAAGAGGCCGCACAGGCCCCCGCCCCGCCTCTTCGCTACCCCGCCGGCCGCCCAGCGCGCACGCGCCTTCGGGCCCGACGCCGGGGACGTCCCGACGCACTGCCCCACGCCCTATCCCGGCCTGGGTTTGGCCCCAGCCTTGCGCGCGGCGCAACGAAACCCCGCCCCTTAGCGCCGGGCGCACGGCGTCGGCGCAGTTCCGGGGGCAGCGCTGCAGCCGCCGGCGCGGGCGTTGTGCTGCGCAGGCGCGGCACGAGGCCGGCCGCCCGCCCCCTCGCGGGCGTCGCGGAGAGCGCTGACCTCTGGGCAGAGTTGGGCCCGGCCCAGCGGGTTCCTGGGAGCGTCCCCCCTCCCCCGCCTGGCCGGTTCCTCCCCGCCCCGTCCATGATCGCCTTGCGTGGTGAGGCCCGTTGCCAGCTGCAGTCGCCCGATTACATGATCTTGTGGACAGGTAGTGTTGAGCAAATGCTCATGGCGCCCCATTAGCAAATTCCTCCCGCCTCCTGTCTCAGCCCAGGCCGTGGGGCTGCAGCGTCGTCCCACCAACCTCCCGGCCTCCTCCTGTCTCAGCCCAGGCCGTGGGGCTGCAGCGTCGTCCCACCAACCTCCGGGCCTCCTCCTGTCTCAGCCCAGGCCGTGGGGGCTGCAGCGTCATCCCGCCAACCTCCTGGCCTCCTCCTGTCTCAGCCCAGGCCATGGGGGCTCCAGAGTCATCCCGCCAACCTCCCGGCCGCCTCCTGTCTCAGCCCAGGCCGGTGGGGCTGCAGCAACATCCCACCAACCTCCCGGCCTCCTCCTGTCTCAGCCCAGGCCATGGGGGCTCCAGAGTCATCCCGCCAACCTCCCGGCCGCCTCCTGTCTCAGCCCAGGCCATGGGGGCTCCAGAGTCATCCCACCAACCTCCCGGCCTCCTCCTGTCTCAGCCCAGGCCATGGGGGCTCCAGAGTCATCCCACCAACCTCCCGGCCTCCTCCTGTCTCAGCCCAGGCCATGGGGGCTTCAGAGTCATCCCGCCAACCTCCCGGCCTCCTCCTGTCTCAGCCCAGGCCGTGGGGCTTCAGAGTCATCCCGCCAACCTCCCGGCCTCCTCCTGTCTCAGCCCAGGCCGTGGGGCTTCAGAGTCATCCCGCCAACCTCCCGGCCTCCTCCTGTCTCAGCCCAGGCCGTGGGGCTCCAGCGTCATTCTGCCAACCTCCCAATCAACTCAGTGCTATTCTACCTGTCCTCGCAGAGATTATGACCCTGGATGGAAAGAAGACAAATAGGAAAAGAAAACAAACACTAGACAGCCTGATTAATGCCTGAGTGAAGGGTTTGGTTAGGAAGCCTGGGTGCTAGATGGAACAAATAGAAGCTTCATGGCCCCGGGTTTGTAGGATGGGCCTTAGCTCAGAAGTCACCCTACAGAGACACCTTCCATCATCACCCTTCCTCAGCAGATCCCCCAACCCCTAGTTCCTCCATCACAACGTCCTGTTGTATTTTTCTTAGTACTTGTCACTCAATGTAAGCTCTTGAGGGCAAGCATCTTGCTTGTCGTGTTTAATGATTCTCAGTTCCTTGCCTACGGTAAAGGCTCAATGATTACTTATTGAAAAACAAAGTAATGCCGGGCCGGTGTGGCTCAGTGGCTGAGCATCGACCCAGCACCATGAGGTCCCTGTTTGATTCCTGGTCAGGGCACATCTCCAGGTTGGGGGCCAAATCCCCAGTGGGGGGCATTTGGGAGGCGGCCAGTCGATGTTCTCTCTCATCAATGTTTCTAGCTCTCCCTTTCCCTTCCTCTTTCTTTAAAAATCAATAAGAAGAAAAACAAAGTAATCAATAATTATTTGTGGAATAAATGAATTACTGAAATCACCTGTTCATCTTCCGCTGGACTATGAGGCCGGAAGAATGAGGCTCCTGTCAGACTTGTTTACTGATCTCCTATGTAATAACATACCTACCTAATAATTAGGTGTTGCCTGAATGAATGAATGACTCAGAAGTGAGGGGCAGGAAGGAATGGCACGTGGCTACATCCGCACATGAGCCTGGTTTAGTGGACAAACAGCCTGGCCCTGCTCTCAGGATAAGCCCTCCCTCCCCTGATCCCCTGACAGTCCACAACCTTGTGCCCCCATCAAAAAACTTGACACTTTAAATGATGGCTGTGGGGGAAAATCTTTACATCTGGGTACTTAGAAGCTAGTTAGAAGCACTGCCTCATTTTTTTAGCTCGTTTGATTGTTATAAACAAATGAAAGCCGGGTTGATTTAGGAAGGAGGATGATTTTTAAAAAATAGCTGAAGCCCTGGCCAGTTAGAGCCTCAGCGGTTAGAGCATCGGCCTGCAGTCCGGAGAGACCCGGGTTCGGTTCCCGCTAAGGGCACGTACCTCGGTTGCAGTTTGTCCCCGGCCCTGGTTGGTCGTGCGGGTGGCAGCCACTCGATGTGTCCCTTTCACGTCGATGTTTCTCTCTCTCTGTTCCTCCTCTCTCTCCCTCCCACTCCATCTGTACAAAAAATGGAAAAATATCCTCGGGTGAGGATAAAAAAAATAAAAAAATAAAAAATAGCTGAAGACCTTTATATAGAAGAAAAAGAGAAAAATTACATTAGGCAGGAAGAAAATAATATGGTTGGGTAGTTGCTAAGTGCAGTTTGGGGTACCTAGGACTTAAAAAGCCCCCTACAGTACTCGGAGCGAATTCCTGGGGAGGCAGTGCTGTGAGGCTTGGTGAGAGTACTCCCGCCTTGATTAACACACGGAGTTAATACCGCTGGGTGTTAAAACACTGGCCCAGGAACCATCAACGCAAAACAGGCTGTACCCGCTATTCCTGGACCTCCATGAAGCTGTTCACCATCCAGGATTCCGCTTCTGTTTATTTTAGAGAATGTTACTCTGTCCCTCACCGCCTCCCCCCTTCAAGATTTCTGGCTTTTTTTTTCTTTTTTTTTAAAGTTGTGGAAGTTAAATGACACCTGTCTTCTTCTACCCGTATCAGTCCATTTTACTGACTGCATCTGGAGTGATGGGGGATGGAAGGGTGGAGATCTGGGACCCAAGCCTTTTTTCTGTGTCCCCAAGGTGGGAATAATACTACCTTGTACTTGAATTTGGAAAGCAAGACCTTGACATAGTTCCTGAAGACTCATTTAGAAACACCCAAGGGAATCAAATCAATGGTTTCTAGATGCCCCAGCATTGTGTCACCGACAATACCTCTAGAAGAAACAGGGAAGTCATTATCAGGCCATTAACTTGGAATTAAGCAGGTGGACCCTGGCCCTTGCTCAGGGATGACACACAATTCCCAGGTCCCCAAGCCCTTCCCTGGGAGGAGCGGGGAGTGCAGGTGTGGTTCCTCTGCAAGGACCTTTGCCTCTGGCGGAGGAGCCGAAACACAATCAAGAAAGAGCTGGAAGGTATTTAAAGCAAGGGTTGGTTAGGTGTTTGGAGCAGAGAGACCCATGACTGAACCCCAGCCCCTTTGTGCGCCTTGGGCAGCGCATCTTCCCGGGCCTCGGAGGAGGCACCGGCTGAAGCTGGTGTGTGATGAGCCAGCACCACGGGCAGTGACCCCGCGTTAGTGGAGCCCGGACACAGGCTGGCAGGAGAGGTAGACCAGGGCTGTGCTCTGACGTGCGCTGGGCCGAGGGTCCTTTATCTCCAAACTTCAGTCATTCACACGCCAGCTTCACGGTTTGTCCTGTCTTCACCGGTTCCATTATTGCTTACTTTTTCAGATTTTTTTTTTTTTTTTTTTTACAAATACACTTTAAATAAAACTTCATATAAAACAAACAAACAAACAAAAACCATGAAAAACTTAATATACCTACTGTCTACAGAAAATCAGTACTTCCCCCGATAGATGCTAAGCACTGTTAAAGTAAAACAGTCAGCTCCCTACGACCTTTGCTTTAGCTGCGGCTGTCTGTCTTCGGGGTCTCTCTCCCCGCTTTGTGGCTGCTTTGGGCTCCTATGCCTTCTCTTCAGACTCCGACCCCGCCTGCTCCTCCGAACCTCTCAGCAGTGACCTTTGTCACTGAATTCACTGTGAACATCAGCTTTCCTCCTGTGCTCTGGAAAATGGCTTGTGTTCTCGTGAATGCTGTCTGCATTCCTTCTGGGGTCAGAGAACCTCTCCTTTCTCCTTTCCCATCTGTTTGCCTTTGCTCCCTTCACTCATTCACTCAACCAACAGCCTTGATCACCTGTTCTGGGCCATCCCTAGCCTCAAGGAACTCACACCACCCCAGCGGTTCTCGGTCGGGGTGATTCCTTCCAGGGGCCACCGGGCAATGTCTGCAGACCTTCTTAGTGGTCACATCTGGGGTGGGGGTGGGGAATGCTGCTGGCATCTAGTGGACAGAGGCCGAGGGTGCTGCCAGGCGCCCTGCAGTGCACAGGACAGAGGCAGTTCGCCACAACAAGAAGGCCCTGGCCCCGGTCAGCGGCACCACGATGTAGACGGCCTGGACTGTGGTGCACAGGCTCCCGTCACTTGGCCCCGTCCACCTGTCTGGCCTTGATCTGTCCTTCCCGTCCTCATCTCCACGGGCCCTACAGCGGCATCCCTTCCTCGCTGTCCCCGACAGGGGTGCACTTCCACGCCCCGGAACTCCGGACAATGGGGGTCTGCCCGTCATTCGCCGAAGTCTCCAGCCTGCAAATACTTGCTCCGCCCAGAGCCTCGCGGGCCGCCTTCGGCCTAGCTCAGTGCATCGCTTTCTCTCGGTTTCTGTTGCACAGGCCTCGTCACTGCAGCTGGTGTGTGTGCGTGTCCACAGCTGCAGTTTAAAGTGCAGTGATCTGTCCTAGTCCGTGGGGCGACGGTGACCTGTCACAGGGTGGGGAGCTTACAGACAGCAGAGGTTTCTCTCTCACAGTGCTGGGGGCTGGGTGACATCAGGATGCTGCCCGGGCAGTTGTGTCCTCGCCTGGTGGAAGGGGCTGGGGACCTGTCTGGGCCTCTCCTATGGGAACACTAACCCTGTCATGGGGCTCCACCCTCGTGACCTCAGCACCTCTCAAAGGCCCCTCCTTCTCATACCAT